GGTCTTTTCAACGATTTTAGATGAGTCCATAGTAACTAGGACAAGATATAATAGGATTTTCTTATCAAAATGATGGGATTATTAATTAACGATGTAAAATATGTTTATGTAATGTAAGCCTCCCACGACCGGAATGGTTTACTTAATTCCTGATTTTCGTGAATCTTGTGTTTACAAGAAAAATAAAATATAGTAATCACTTCATAAATTCAGCTAAATAAACACCAATCTGATCACCAATCACATCCAAATTTTAGAAGCTTCACAATCACAACACTAAAATCAACTCCTCCCACTTTAAAAAAATTCCGTTTTCCAAGTCAATAGTCAACCGTACTTAATTATTTCCAGGCAAACGCGTTCCGGAAACTTACGTCTCCATTACAAATCAAATACTCCTATATATAAACTATACTGTTAATTTATAACCTCCAAAGTTAGTTATACACATAACAAGAAATTTGAGCTCATCCATGGCTGATTCTAAAGAGGATCAAGCTAAGCCTCTAGCCCCACTTTCTCTCACTACCCGAAGCGACCAACCCCTCGAAGATCATCATTATTACCACGACGACCGAACCAAACACTTTCACTCACGGTCACGGACCAGACTGATCTTATGCTGCGGTTTCATCGCATCTCTAACTCTGATAATTGCGTTCACCTTCATCGTCCTCTCTCTCACGGTTTTCCATCTCCATAGCCCAACTCTCACCGTCGATTCCATATCAAACCGAAACGCTACGGTCTCGTTGGAAATTTCCTTGCGCAATCCCAATGCGGCGTCGTTTAAAGTGAGAAACGTTACTTTTTTGCTTCACTACGGTGACTTCGTGGTTGCTGAGGATACTGGTAGAAGAAGTGAAACTATTCCGGCGAAACGGACGGTTAGGATGAATCTGACGGCTGAGATTGTTACAACAAAGCTACCAGCATCTTTAGCAGGAGTGGATTTGAAAAGCAGTGTTGTAGTTAGTGGTAAAGTGAAGATCTTCAAGATTTTCAAGAAATCTGTTCATCTTACAAAAGATTGTTTCATGAAGATGACGATCAACAATTCCTCAAAGCTTACATTTCAATGTTCAAGGACAAGAAATGCTCATGAACAAATCCAAACCTAAATAGAGCAAATTCTTTTTCTCCCTTTCTACGGCTTATTTATAAATGTCTGTAAATAAACTCATGTCAACAAAAATGTATTGTAGATTCAAAAGACAAGAATATTCCGCCGGAAACTAGAACTCTCCGGCAACACTAATAACACACACAAAAAGAACATTTATCCTAGAGGATCTCGAGTCCTATCAAAGATCGATCCATTAACTTTTCTTCATCAACGTTTGAGAAAGAGAAAGAAACAAGTATGCGCAACATTTGGCTGGTTTTGCACCGGAAAATCTCACCGGAGGTTTTATTATTTCTTTTGGTCAGTGACACGTCCTCCGGCGATCTTAACAACAGGTTCGTCTTTGCCCAGTAAAAGCGTTAGCGCCGGATGAACCTTGAGGTCTCCCGTTGCTAGCTTTTGTCCAACGTCCAGTTCGCTGAGATCTACTTCTATATATGGTGGGATTATCTCTGCTGGGCATAGGTACTTTACCGTTCTCTTTATCGTATTCAGAGATCCTCCTGCAATGCAAAATCAAGATCAAGAAACGGTGATGATCTATGCCAAAATCTAGCAAGATTAACATAAACACAAACCAAGGAGGACATAGAAGAGGTTGAGAGGGTGAGGGAAGAAAGGAGAACCAAAAGAAGGAATGATCCTCTCAGCAGTGAGAGCGAAGCAGGAGAGTTTGAAATTGGGGTGAACATCCCACATGAGGAGAATGATGACTCCCCAAGTGAAGAAGAGGGTGAAGAGATCAATCAAGAGATTGAGGAGAGTGAGCATGAGGGCAATGAGAATGTGCCCATGGAAGAGGAGGAGTCAAGTGAAGAAGAGGATGAGCTCCCCATGTACCAAGAGCACTATGATGCTCTTTTCTCCATGGACTTCATGGACACCAAGTACCCACATGTTGACACCATGAAGGCCCTTGGAATCTTTGAAGATGTGGAGTTGGTCCTCAAGAACATGCACTTGGCCAAGCTCTTCTCCTACCACATGGAATCCTACAAGGAGCTCACTTGCGAGTTCCTAGCTTCAATGAGGTACCACATGTATGAGGAAGAAGATAGAGCTGATTTGGACCAAGGATTGGGATGGATCACGTTCTTGGCTAAGGGAGAGAAGAGAATGGTGACCTTTAGGCAGCTGGAAATCTTGTTTGGGTTCAACTATGGAGAGGGAACCAAGTGGAACTTCAAGGAAAAGGAACTCCAAAGGGTTTGGGCTACAATCGCTGATGGAGTGTACTCTTCCTCAAGGTCCAAGGCAGCTCAGATCAGGAGCCCAGTCTTGAGATATGTGCACAAGGCACTTGCCAACACCTTCTTTGCAAGGAAGGCAACCGGGACAATCAACGAGGGGGAACTCAAGTTTCTTGACATGGGAATCAAGCCCCTTCTCTCACGCACAAGCGATGGCAAGAGGATAAGGGGAGATAGGTCTGACACATGGAACTTGATGCCTTTCCTTGACCACCTCCTCACCTACAAGATCACGGCTTACAACACTAGGCACCAAAGAGGAAGAAAGCTTAGTATTGGAGGGCTCATCACACCTATCTTGTGTGCTGCTGGAGTAAACCCAACTGATAGGAGAGCTACTGAACCAGGTTGGATGGACATCAAGTTCTGCAAGACCAACCTCCTCATTGAGCACAAGGAGTTAGATGGGAGGTTCCAATTCAAGTTCACACATCCATTGGTTGGACCCTCCAAGTTTCTCCTGCCTAACCCAGAGCTCACCACAGTTGTAAGGGGTGAGAACATTGATTTTAGACCCCCTGGGTACACATTAGTTGGGCATGAGGATGATCTGCGAGAAGAGGAGCCTGAGCTCGATCGAGCTGATCGAGCTGAGGGTCGAGTTGACCTGGAGGAGCCCCTGTTTGAGAACCCTGGATTCGAGTACGATCCAACCCAGTACCAGGACTTCTCCTCAGACCAACTGGACCCCTACAACCGCTTCGAGCAAGCACAGCTCCACCAAGGCCAAGGAAGCCACACACTTTCAACGATGAAGAAGAAGAGGAAGAGGAGCCGCAAGCTCGATCGAGTGAGCCAAGAGGCAACCCAGTTGCATGGAGTGCTCCTGATGGCCGTCTACCATCTCCAGACCACGACCTAGCCTCCCAGTTCTTTGGGGGGCACTGAGGTATCCAAACACCAACCCTTGTATATACCATTTCATATTTTCTTGCATTTGTTCTTGTTTTTTTTCTTGGTTTTGCCCTCTTGAATCTTTCACTAAATTTTTCTCACACAAGGGACTGTGTGATTTAAGTTTGGGGGAGGGTTCAAGAGATGATTTAACCTTGTTTTCTTTGTTCTTAGTTTTTCATTATCTTTTGCATAGAAAAACCAAAAAAATCATAAAATTTTCAAAAAATCCAAAAATATTTTCATCTTTTTGCATTCATATTTGTTAGACTTGTTTAGGATTGCATTTTTCACTTGCATTGTTGATTTGACTTTGAAAACTTGTCCATCTTTTGCGATTTCTTGAGTGCCCTGTTTTTAGATTCTTTTGTGCATTAGGGTGAGATTGATTGAGCAGCAAGAACCATGTTTATCTTGATCATATCACTGCATGCACATCTCATTCAACCATTGCTGTGATTTGATGCATTTCCCTATCTATTTGAACCATAACTTGATCTTTAATTACCAATGCTTGCATTTGATTTCAACTCATGGCTACCACATACATATCTGGACATTCTTTACCTTTCATATCCCTTTGCTTGTCCAGATAGCTGATCTCTATCTTTGAGACAGTTACCACACCTTAAACCTAAGCCTTTTCATTTCAAACCCCATTATTATCTCTTGTGCGAATGTGAGAACCTTTCTTGGCTTTGCTTAGCATAAGGTGTTGTGTTTAAACCGGCAGGGGCAGTAGTTCTAGTTGTCTAGTTCTCTTGGGATTGTTTTCAGGCTAAGTTTGGGGGTGCCAACTCGAGCTCGATCGAGTTGGGTGTAAAAACCAGAAAAGTGGTAAAAGTTGGGAAAATCCAAAGGAAAAAGAGTTTAGTTAAGTCCAGGGAGTTGGCAGTTTAAAAGGGTCTAGTAAAGGTTTGGGAAGTTAAAAAAGGAAAGTAAAAAGGGTTCTAAGTAGAATGAAAAGAAGGCAAAGCCTCAAGTGTCAAAAAGGAAAGAAAAGTTCCCTAAGTGTTTAGAAAATCCCAAACCGCTAGATGTTACCTCAAGAAGCCTCTCCCTAGGAAGTTCTTAAAAGAAAAGTGAGCAAAGCTCCTCAGTTTCAAAGGCGAAATGCCAAAAAGGGTAGTTAGGATTTTGTTCTAAAAAGCTCTAAGTGTTGAACTCGATCGAGTTAGGATTAGGCGGCTCGAGCTGCTGTTCTTGCATCATCTTTGGTTCTAACACTTAGCCTTCTGCCAAAGCAAAGCCACTTTCTTGAGAGATCCCTGTTACTAAACCACCATACAAAAGAGACCCTCTTTGTCTCTTAACCCATAAACCCTTGAAACCAAATGAGTTGATTGATCTTGCATGTTTTTGGTTCACTGTTTTTGCTTAATGAATGTTAAAGGGATTTGCTGATTTGAATGCATTGTTTGAGTGACTGTGAAGTGGGATTGATGTTGATAAGCATGGTTAAATCTTAATGAATATCTCTCACCTTGTTGCATTCTAGAATCTCTAAGTTGGACATTTAGCAAATCGCTTTTGAGGACATGTTTTTAAGTGTTGAATCACTTGTTTTCAAACCTCATCTCTTTCTTGTTCTATTTGTTTGCTTGAGGGCAAGCAAAGTTCAAGTTTGGGGGTGTTGATGTACTTGCATTTTACATAGTTTTAGCACATCTTTTATGCATCTTTTGCATAGTTTTAGCTTCCATTTGCATCATATCTTGTTCCTTTTCTCTTCTTATGCATTCATGTTAGTTTTAGGTTGCATTTGCATACATATGCATGTTTGGTCCTTTGAAATAGGTCTTTTGGAGCATTCTGGAGCATATGGGACATGAGGAGCATGGAGGGACTTGGCACATGGAAGCAGCTCAACTGGACACGCAAAGGAAGAAGGGAGAAGCCATCTTGAAGACCAGCTCGACCGTCTACTCGACCAACCGGTCGAGTTCCTCAACTCGACCGGCCAAGCTTCAACTCGATCGAGCTGGAAGTCAAAGTCAAACCCGAAAAATGTTGCTTCCCCCTTGACTTCCTTTGACCCTAAACCTAATCCTCTTGTATTTAAAGGCTCTAAGCCACGAAAAAACCACCAAGCTTTAGATTATTTTGTTTTAGCTTTCTTTAATTTATTGTCTTTTACTTTTTAGCAATCTAATCCCATCTTTGTGTTCTTGAAGCTCTTGCTTCTTGAATCCTTAGATCCTGGATAATCTCTTTGTATTTGCACTTGCTTATTTCAATAAAAGTTGTTTAATTTCATCTCCTCTTTCTTATGATGTCTCTTTTATTGCATTTGCTTGTGTTTACATTCATGTGTAGTGAGTAGTTACCCATTAGGGTTTGAGATGGGATAGATTAGAGGTTTCATATGCTTAATCCTCTCTAGCTTATGGTCTTAATCTAGATTCTCTCTCTTTTGGATAGATCTTAAGGCTACATGACCACTACCCCTGGCTTGTAAGTCCTTAGGCGATTCCCCACACGGAAGTGATGGCATTCGCTGGAAAAGATCCACTAAGAGCTCCAATATCTCTTGCTCTAGACAATAGAGGTCTAAGGGGTTGGATGGATTAGTTTGGGCAATGATCCTATGGCCTCCAAGGTTTGATTCTCACTGGCTAACCCCCTGTTTCTGAGATCATTCCTTGGTTGATAGCCTCCACCTTGGGAAAGGGTTGGCTAGGCATTGAGAAGCCCAATATCAAGAGAAGCCTTGATACAAGGAGTTTTAAGAGCTAGATTGATTAAGTGTAGATTCCTTTGATTGCAAAACCCTGTCTTGAACCCTAATTCTCTCTTATCTTGTTAAAGTCGTCACCTTTAGCTTTTTGCTCAACTCGACCCTAAACTCGATCGAGCTGGTACTCTGTTCCCACTCGACTCGAGTCCTTGGTCGAGCTACTTGTTTACTGCTTTGTTTACTTTTATTGCACTGCATTTCATTTCTTAGGTTGTTAGTGTTACTTCAAATCTATAACTGCTTGCTTGACTTTCTGGTTGTTTCATATTCTCATAGAGTGACAAGTTTCCCATTTTGGATTGATAACCTCTTATACTTCAATGACTATGATGGTTAAGAGGAATTGATTGATTGTGATTGCACCATACCATTTCATCTTTATTCACCCCTGTTTGCATTCCATCTCATTTCATATCATTTCACATATCACACACGCAATCCTATCATCAGACTAGCTCAACCAATGCCTAAGAAGGTAAAGGTCAAGCTATGGGACCTTAAACAAGCTCACTTGGGAGGAAGTCCCATGTTTATCCTTGTACATATTCTATTATTGCAATTTCTATCTATTTTCGTGTCTTTAACCTTCAATAAGTTAAGTTTAGGTGACAAAGAAGCCAGCTCGACCGACAGCTCGATCGAGCCAGAAACAGGGGCAACTCGACCTAGGTAAGTTTTTGAAATTAAATTTTTAACCGTTTCCTTGGTCAAGGGAGTGGGTCCCACAAGTAAATTTTGGTCCCCCACTACCCTAAATCGATCAGAAAAACCCCTAGCTTTTGTCCCTCTTTATTTCACCTTTTAATCCCAACCACACATCTCAAACACTCCCTCTTCCCCATAACTCGATCGAACCCCCATCTCTCTCTCCCACAATCTTAAAAATTCTGAAACCTCCATCTCTCTTCACCACAAGAAAAATCGATTTCCCTCTTTCTCTTTTAAGTTTTTCGATTTTCATTGTTCATCATCTTGTTTTGCTTTAGTTCTAGCTTACTGTGATTCTTCAATTCATCATTCAAGCAAGGTATGAACCCTAAAACCCTTGATTCTTCATCTCGATTTCTCTTTATTGCTTGTTTTCCCTTTGATTTTGATTGCATGTGCCCCTTGTGGGCTTGTTCTTGAGTAATTGCTTCATATCATTCTCCTGTTTATATTTTTGTGAATTTGCCTCACCTCACCTCTGTTTTACCTTTAGAACTTGTTGCATGTGCTTAAAACATTGAATTTGAGTTTGGTATTGGTTAAGATGCTTGGTTTTCACTAGAATTGCTCATTGTTCCATTTACTTGTTGTTTTGGTTCAATTTGATTGACAAGCTCTTTCCAGCTCTTATTATTTGAATTAGGTTCGGTTATACTCTGTTTTCACCTAGCTCGATCGAGTTTGTCACTCGAGTTTTTTGACTCGATCGAGCTGAGTGTCGAGTTGACCAAACCGATCATTACAACTCTAATTCTTTGTAATCTTTGATGCATTTCAGGTACTTTAGTGAAGAAACAGTGTAACAGAGATGACAAACAGTGAGGGAAGTCGCACTTCACAAAGAATGGTTGAGGGTGAATCAAGCAATGCAAGGGAGAGAAGGCTTAAAATGCAAGCCGATTTGGCGGCAATGACTCAAAGGATGGAAGAGTCTGATGCAGAGGAGTATGTCTACTCTGAGGAAGAGTCTGAGAGCGAGAGATTGAGGGAGGAAAGGAGAACCAAGAAGAGGAATGACCCCATTAGTAGTGAGAGTGAGCAAGGAGAGTTTGAGATTGGAGTGAACCTTGTTCAAGAGGAGGGTGATGGTTCTCCAAGTGAAGAAGGAAGTGATGACTGAGAGTGAAGAGGAAGGAGAGAGGTGAATCAATTGGTTGATGAGAGTGAGCAAGAGAGTAACCAAGATGAACCATGGAGGTTGAGCCACAAGAGAAGGAGGAAGAACTCCCTATGTACCAAGAGCACTACAATGCTCTCTTCTCCATGGACTTTGTGGAACAAGATACCCACATGTTGACACAATGAAGGCCCTTGGAATCTTTGAGGATGTGGAGCTAGTTCTCAAGAACATGCACTTGGGAAAGTTTTTCTCTCATCTCACCTACAAAGAGCTCACTTGCGAGTTCTTGGCTTCAATGAGGTACCAAATTGATGTACTTGCATTTTACATAGTTTTAGCACATCTTTTATGCATCTTTTGCATAGTTTTAGCTTCCATTTGCATCATATCTTGTTCCTTTTCTCTTCTTATGCATTCATGTTAGTTTTAGGTTGCATTTGCATACATATGCATGTTTGGTCCTTTGAAATAGGTCTTTTGGAGCATTCTGGAGCATATGGGACATAAGGAGCATGGAGGGACTTGGCACATGGAAGCAGCTCAACTGGATACGCAAAGGAAGAAGGGAGAAGCCATCTTGAAGACCAGCTCGACCGTCCACTCGACCAACCGGTCGAGTTCCTCAACTCGACCGGCCAAGCTTCAACTCGATCGAGCTGGGGAAGTCAAAGTCAAACCCGAAAAATGTTGCTTCCCCCTTGACTTTCCTTTGACCCTAAACCTAATCCTCTTGTATTTAAAGGCTCTAAGCCACGAAAAAACCACCAAGCTTTAGATTATCTTTGTTTTAGCTTTTTTAATTTTATTGTCTTTTACTTTTTAGAACCCTAATCCCATCTTTGTGTTCTTGAAGCTCTTGCTTCTTGAATCTTAGATCCTGGATTCTCTTTGTATTTGCACTTGCTTATTTCAATAAAAGTTGTTTAATTTCATCTCCTCTTTCTTATGATGTCTCTTTTATTGCATTTGCTTGTGTTTACATTCATGTGTAGTGAGTAGTTACCCATTAGGGTTTGAGATGGGATAGATTAGAGGTTTCATATGCTTAATCCTTCTAGCTTATGGTCTTAATCTAGATTCTCTCTCTTTTGGATAGATCTTAAGGCTACATGACCACTACCCCTGGCTTGTAAGTCCTTAGGCGACTCCCCACACGAAGTGATGGCATTCGCTGGAAAAGATCCACTAAGAGCTCCAATATCTCTTGCTCTAGACAATAGAGGTCTAAGGGGTTGGATGGATTAGTTTGGGCAATGATCCTATAGCCTCCAAGGTTTGATTCTCACTGGCTAACCCCCTGTTTCTGAGATCATTCCTTGGTTGATAGCCTCACCTTGGGAAAGGGTTGGCTAGGCATTGAGAAGCCCAATATCAAGAGAAGCCTTGATACAAGGAGTTTTAAGAGCTAGATTGATTAAGTGTAGATTCCTTTGATTGCAAAACCCTGTCTTGAACCCTAATTCTCTCTTTATCTTGTTAAAGTCGTCACCTTTAGCTTTTTTGTCTCAACTCGTCCCTAAACTCGATCGAGCTGGTACTCTGCCACTCGACTCGAGTCTTGGTCGAGCTGACTTACTGCTTTGTTTACTTTTATTGCACTGCATTTTCATTTTTAGGTTGTTAGTGTTACTTCAAATCTATAACTGCTTGCTTGACTTTCTGGTTGTTTCATATTCTCATAGAGTGACAAGTTTCCCATTTTGGATTGATAACCCTTATACTCAATGACTATGATGGTTAAAGGGAATTGTTGACTGTGTTTGTGTTTGCATCTTACCACCATCATTACCACTGATTGCATTCCACCTCATATCTCATCTCATTTCATTCTTTTCACATCCACACACAAACATTCACCATCACACATGTACAATGAGGAGGATAGAGCCGATTTGGACCAAGGATTGGGATGGATCACGTTCTTGGCTAAGGGAGAGAAGAGAATGGTAACCTTTAGGCAGCTGGAGATCTTGTTTGGTTTCAACTATGGAGAAGGGATTGAGTGGAACTTCAAGGAAAAGGAGCTCCAAAGGTTTGGGCTACAATCGCTGAAGTGGGGTACTCTTCCTCACGATCTAAGACCGCTCAAATCAGGAGCCCAGTGCTTAGGTATGTGCACAAGGCACTCGCTCACACCTTCTATGCAAGGAAAGCAACCGGCACATCAATGAAGGGGAACTCAAGCTTCTTGACATGGGAATCAAACCCATCCTCTCTCACACAAGCGATGGCAAGAGGATCAGAGGAGACAGGTCCAACACAGGAAACTTGATGCCTTTCCTAGATCACCTCCTCACCTACAAGACCACGGCCTACAACACTCGCCATCAACAAGGGAGAAGACTAAGTGTTGGAGGAATCATCACTCCTATCTTGTGTGCTGCTGGCGTGAACCCAACTGATAAGAGAGCCACTGAACCAGGTGGATGGACATCAAAGTTTTGCAAGGTCAACCTCCTCATAGACCACAAGGAAGTGAATGGGAGGTACCAATTCAAGTTCACACATCCATTGGCTGGTCCTTCCAAGTTCTCCTGCCCAACCCAGAGCTCACCACAGTCGCCAGGGGTGAGAACATCGACTTCAGACCCCCTGTGTACACTTAGTTGGGCATGAGGATGAGTTGCGAGAAGAGGAGCCTGAACTCGATCGAGCTGAGGATCAAGCTGAGATTCGAGCTGAAGATCAAGTTCAGGAGAATGAGTTTGGGTGAGCCTGAGTGCTATTACTTTGAGGAGTATGAAGCTCCAAGGATGAACCCCTCTGTTGTGGCTGCCCACAAGAGGATTGGACTTTCCAAAAGTTCAACAAATGGCAAGGGAAGGCCATTGAAAAGATGCAAAAGTCCATGGACAAGATGGTGAGCAAGATCAAGAGTTTGGAGAAGAAAGTCTCTGGTTCTTCATCCAAGAAGAAGAAGGCAACCATGGCCCCCACATTCCCAAGGAGTAGATCTCTCCTCACCACTCCAAGGAGGCTTCCTGCCCAAGAGCCTCACAGAGCCTCATCATTTGAGCCAAGGGAAGGAGAGACAACTCGCAGAGGAGGAGGAAGAGTTCCAAAGGCCGACGCTCCAACTCGACCACTGGACTCGATCGAGTCCAAACAGAGGAAACTCAACTCGATCGAGCTGATGGTCGAGTCAGCCTTGAGGAATCAGATTCGAGAACCCTGGGTTCAAGTACGATCCGACACCTTACCAGGAGTGCCCTCGGAGCAGATGGAACCCCTATGGCTAGTATGAGCTAGCCATGCTCCACCAAGGCCAAGGGAGCCACACACACTTCAATGAAGAAGAAGAAGAAGAGGAGCCGCAAGCTCGATCGAGCGGTGATGCGGAGTCAGGTTTTACCAAACTCCTAGACCTCTGCAAGTGCACAGATCGCGGAAGTATGGGTATCGAACACAAGGACTGGCTATTGAGTACACTTTGTAACTATGGATTTTGGATCAAGCTAAAACAAAAGTATGATTGAGGTTGTAATGGTGAACCGAACTAGCAAGTATAACGAGGTTGTAAATCAATAAAGGAAAAGCGCTAGGTCATAGGGGCTATCGCAGAGAAGCAAGCAATGATCAATGAAACAATGATAGATAATTGATTAGGGATATTGGGATATTAAGAACCATCTAGAACACAGATCACGAATATAAAACCATTCCACTTTCGAGGCTCCGGCTCCTTTGCTAATCTACCTAGTCGCTAAACTTTTGGTATGTCCCTAGGTGATTAGATCAAGCATTAGAATGAATAGGTTCTGATACAGTTCACTAGATATAGATAGATCAACTTTCGCAGTCTAAGAAACCTAGCTTGTCAAAGAATATGTCCGGCGAATGATACAGCACTGTCGAGGCTCAAATCAACCTAAGATCGGATTACTAGATGCGCGGTAAAGCAATCAGCATTAGTTAAGTGCACAAGACGAGACAAAGACTCTAATATAATCCCTAGCTAATCATTGAAATCAAAGATCATGCAAGCAACTCATTGAATAGTAACCCTAGCAACCTAACTAGTGGATTACTCAGACATGATCAAAGCAAACACACATAGAGATGAAGAAAACATGATTGCAATAAAACTTAGAGTAGGAAATCGAAATACAGGGCGGCTCTCTTTCTCAAGAGGCTAAAAATCCATATATATAGTGCTAGGTCTTTCTAGAGGCGGCTAGGGTTAAGCCGGGCTTGAAAACATAAGTTTGGGCTTCAAAAGGGCTTCGGGTCGACCGCGGCGTTGGGACGGTCGGCGGGACGATCGGCCGGACATCGGGTCGTGGCCGAGTCGGAACGGTCGGGTCGGACGGATTCACGGTCGGTCGGCGTGGTCGGCGGATGAATTGGCCGATGAAATCTCGGCCGGACGCGGGCGTTTCCCGGCTCGGACGGAGCGTTCGGCCGTGGTACGCGAGGAGTTGCGCGGCCGCGAGGCGTTTTCCCGGCTCGCGCGCTTTGGTCGTGCGCGGTTGGTGTGGCGTTGTGGCGTGGCCGACCGCGGGCTTGAGTTTCCCGGGTCGTGATGCGTGATCGGCCGAGTGGTTTTGGACTTTGGCCGAGACTTCAGTCGGACGGACGCAGCTTTGGCCGAGCGCGGTTTGGCGCTGTTCTCTCGATAGAGCCGTCTGGACAGTCTTCACTCTTTTGGTTATAACTCCTTTTCTACTCATCCAAATGATGCCATTCCAGTTGCGTTGGAAAGTTAACTCAATCAGAGCACGCAGGGAACTGGTCTTGATGAAATCCATTGAGTAGATCTTTTTCTGGGCCCTCTTAAAGTTGGTGCTTGTGCATTGAGCTGTCCCCCAGACTTAGATCTTTGCTTGTCCCCAAGCAAAAGAATCTAAATCCGTGAAAGAGGTTTGAAAACGTGGAAACTCCCTTGCTCTTTTGAATATCCTGTGAAAGGTTCCTTTCCTGTATTCCACTATGAACATAGACAACATAAGGTTAGCTTCACATACACCCTGCAAGTTTAGCGAACAATACCAACCCAACTAGTCTCATCCAGCAATCCAAACTCTCTATTGCTAACCTCTTGCATAAATTTAAAGCGTGAGTTCTTTATCAAGGGACATCGATCAATTGAACTTGTTCTTACCCACTTGATCTCTCCAAGATTGTCTTTAAGTGCAATGAGTTCTTTTCCTCTCTCTTTCTCACATCAGAACTTTGAAAGGTCAATTTCTCCCTACTTTTCTAGGGTATCATTTTATTTTTTCTATTGACCCTTCTTTCAACCACAGGATAAGTCTTTAGCTTGTTCCTTGTTTGACTAAGGTATTCCATAAGACATGAAGGTACAGACATATGCATTCCTCATGCTTACTTGTTTTCCTTGTGCTCTTTGAGCTTTTTCTCATAATATACTTACCATTTGGGATGGGAGAGAGAGGAGAACTCTTTAAAGATTAGACAAATCTTTTGAAAATCAAGCAAGGAACTGTCGACATGTATGCCAACCCCCTTGACAAGAGTATTAAGATTGATTAAGGTGAGGTTAACTCTAGATTGCTTGGTTACCTTAGAAATTTTGCTGAGCTAGCATGTCGATCCACTGTAAGAGCTTCTGTTAGGCTTGTGCCTTTAGCTGGTTTCTGCTCTAGGGTCATGGATTGTTAGCACAACACTCTCAATTCTCAAAGCAAGTTCATAACTTCCGGACTGGTTTTTGACTCAATAAAACTTTTTGAAAAACATGAAACAAAGTGAATAAAACATAAGAAAAGAAAGAAAAATGCATTAGTAACACAATAAAACTCCCCCCAGACTTAACTTGCACCGTCCCGGTGAAAGCAAATCACATTAAGGTGAGAGGTAATATTCAAAGTAAAAGAAAAATAAAGAAAAATTCATTAAAATGAGATAGGGATAGAAAATGGAGATTTGTAAGTGTCCATTGCACTAAGTACCACTTGAGATGACTATGTGTGGCAGTGAGAAGAACTCTCTTCCTCATCTATGGGGTCATCGCCTTCTGAACCAAGCTCTGAGTCTAGTGAGAACTCACCAAGGTCAGGCTCATATGGCTCTCTAGCGGTGGAAGAAGGGCGAAAGAGTCTCTCCGGTGCAATGTGGCGAACTACGCGACTAGGCGCGAGATGAAGCGAGATTGGCACTCCACGATCTTCTCCAGCTTGTTAACACGGTCTAGAGCTTGGTGCGCGGCCATGCCAGTAGTGAGAACATGGCGTTCTTGGTGGCGGCGTTGAGTCTTGACTGCATGCTGAAGTGTGCGATAGGTGAGCATGGGGAATGATGGTTTCTCACTTGATGGAACATAGAAGTCTTCCTCATTGGGCTGGAAAGTGACAACACCTGAGCGTAGGCTTGGGATGTCTTCATGTGGCAGCAAGACAAGGGAAGTGTTGGCTGGACCAATTGGAAACTCATAGCAAAACCGAGTTGGGTCTTTAGTCCAACGGTTTAGGAAGTGGATGTGCTGAAGAGCATGGAGATCCAAAGGGGTTGGCTTGGGTAGTGGCTCATAGTTGGGAATGTCAATCCCCACATGTTGTACTATGGCCGTGATAAGCCTCCCAAAACGAACACAAAGCTTCTTGTTGCCTTCCAAGTCTTTAGCTAGCTTCCTCACATTGATGAATGTCTTGGCAAGTAAAAGTCCAAGGTTGGCCTTGTACTCATGCTTGATGAATGGTGTGGTGAGGATGTAGAACTCATCAGTTGTGACCTTGTTGGCTTCTTGTTTGCATTGGAAAGTGGTGGAGATGAGGCGGTGCACATAGCGAATGGCTGGATGAGTGATTCTAGACACCTTTGATCTTGAAGGCAAGAATGGTTCATTGGCAAAGTGTGTCCAATCAGCAAAGGCAGCTTGTTTCCTCTTTGAGTTCTCCTTGAAGTCATGTGCTGTCTCATTGGGAAGTCCAAAGAGTTGGCATAGAGCTGAGATGGATATGCGCCCATTGGCATCGCCTATCTTGAAGAGTAGGAGTCCATCACCAGCTGGTTGGTCTCCATTGTGGTTGGGAAAGGCAAGAGCTACTGTGGAGAGGAACTCCTTGGTGAGTTGTGAGTACTCACTACACTCTAGCTTGAAGAGCTTGCTCAAGCCTAGCTTCCTTATGTACCATGTGACATCATCTCTTATCTTGAGAAGATCAAGGGTTTGGGTGTCCATCTTCACACATGGCTCGATGTTCACCTTCTCCATTGCCTTCTTACACTTTCTTGGGTCTTGGATTTGTTCTCCAACAAAGGTTACAAGTGCCCAATCATCTTCTCCTCTTCTTGGACTCTCCACATGTTCTTGATTGCATCAATGGAATGTGGTGAAGTTGGTATTTCTGCTCTTGCATTGGAGCTACTACTCCCTAGCTTGATTTGTTTCTTTGGTGGTTGCATGAATGGGTCTTCTTCTTCTTCATACTCTCATTTCCTTTTGTCTTTGCCATTGTGTACCTACAAGAGCAAATTCTTGGGAAGAAATATGAGTTTGTGATTAATGCAAAAGAAGAATAAGCTAATTGAGTTGTAATAATGATATGGAATAAAGGAACAACTCAAGGCTTAATCATGAATCAAAGAGACAAAATAGAAATTTCACTTTTTCAAAGTTAATTTTCGGATTTTACTGTTCATCCCAAGATTATGGTGCTTAAAATCAAAATTTTCAGCAAATCAAGAGAAATTGAGTTTCTAATCCAAGTAATCACTAGATAAACTAATGAATTGAAGCATATGCCAAGCAATTTCACCTTTGAATAAGGGGTTTGGAATGCCCAATAAGTTTTGTGAAAAACTATTCAATTGTGAAATTAAACTTCAAATTAACTCTAAACCACCTAGGTTCCACCTAGCTAAGTTCATTACAAGACTATAAGATGCTAATTTCAAGTTTAGACAAGAGTTTAGACCAAACAAGAAACTTATTGAAATTTTCGATCTTGCATAAACATAGGATTAGAGTTAGAAGACATACCTTGTGTGTTGAAAAGTGAATAAGGTTGCAAGAGCAAGTAAATTCCAATTTAGAGTTATGAACAGTAAAAGTTTTGAAATCAAAACTCTTAGAGTTCCTCTAATGGAGTTTAGGGTTTTGGAGAAGAAAGAGAGGTTCTTGTGTTTTCAAGGGAAAGGTAAAGTAAATAAGATCTAAATCCTATCAATTTTCCTTTTCAAATTCGAATTTTGATTGAAAACCGGTTTAAGTTGGTTTAGATTGGTTAAAACCGGTTTGAATTAATGAAAAGGGGACTTACCTTGGCCGAGAAAAGTTTTGGGCCGATGGATTTTGTCGCGGTCGAGCGATTTGGTCGGCCAAATTCGTGGCGAGAGATTTCGGCCGAGGCCGATCGTTGTTTCCCGGATCGACCGGCACGGTCGGTCCGTTCCGATACGAAAATCGGCCGAGCGCGGCCGTTTCTTTCTGTTCTGCGTGCCGCGCACGGTTTCTGTGTCGCGCGATGAGTCAATCCGGCCGAGCACAAGCCGTTCCTTCCCGGCTCGACCGTGGTCGGCCAGAATGGAATTGCTCGGCCAAAATCACTTTGCGCGTCCGCGGCCAATGTTTGGCGCGGATTGTGTTTTCACACCTTTTTCTCCTTCTATCCTATCTTAAAACAAAGAAAACACAAAAGCAAAACAAAAACTAAGAAATTTAAAGAAAGAAAAGTAAAAGTACCTCATGGGTTGCCTCCCATGCAGCGCTTGTTTTAAGTCTTTAGCTTGACTGTAAGGCTTGGCGCTCAGGAGAAGATGGAGACAAGAGGCATCTTTGATCCTCCAAGTCTTTTCTCCTTGCAATGAGTATCTGGTGGGTGATTCACAGCTGGATAGACAATCTCTCCATGAATGTCCCTTGGCACAAATGCCTTAGGAAAAAGTTGTAGAGTTCTTGTCACTTTCTCCTTGAATCCTTCTAGATTCTCATCAATAAGCTCCTTTGGGAATAGAAGCTTCATGTTGCGGCCAGACCTAGGTTTTCTACCTTCTTCTTGGCTTGGCCTCATCTTCAATCTTGGTTGATCCCTTGGGCGGTTTTGGTGTAGGGGCCTTAGTCTTACTCCTTGCTTGTTTGGCAAGCTGCTTGGGCTTAGGAATGGGATCTTCCTTGATTGTTCTTCAGTTTCTCCTTCTTGGGGTGGCTTCAAAGTAACTTTCTCCTCTTGGACCATGTCAACAAAAGAGTTCTTTGTTGAACACATAGGGAAGAACATACCCTTGTTCACCTTGTTGAAAGAGATTCTTTGATTGGGGAAATCAAATATGGCACCCACAGTAGACAGGAAAGGGGTTCCAAATATGAGAGGTCTATGGCTACTCTCTCTCATTTCCACAATCTGGAAATCAGTGGGGATAGAGCAATTTCCAATCTGCACCATCACATTAGGCACAAAGCCATAGGGGTTTGTGAGAATGAATCAGCATAGTTGATGGAGATGGATGATGGCTCTATCTTGGTGAGGCCTATCTTGTCAGCTATCCTCTTAGACATGATGTTCACATTGGCTCCTGTGTCACACAAAGATTGCTCAAGAATGTTACCTTTGATGATACAAGGCACACAAACTTTCCTGAGTGTTCTCGTCTTGGGGATAATCTTTGGGAAGAGTCTTCTCTTTCTAGCTCGATTGGACTCTCTCTCTGGGTAATTCTCTTCAGGCCAAATCATGCAATCAACAGTAGGTTTTGAAAGCATCCATTCTGGAACTTGGTCTTCAAATCTTTCTTCTATGGCGGCTGAGTTGCAAAAGGACTTCTTGGATTCAGCTTCCTGTCTCTTAACAGCTTCCATAGTTTGAGTGACTTGAGTCTCTAGTTTCTTCACATGAGTGGCAACAGCATCATACTTGGTGTTGAGATTGCTGAACAAAGTGTCCATCTTCTCATACATCTCTTTAGTGTTTCTCTTTGGCCATCCATGATCTGTTGGAGGATTCCTTCAAATCTCCCACCTTGTTGGTTTGGAGGAGCTTGATTTGGTGAAGAAGCATATGGCTCCTTGGGCGGATATGATGATCTCTGCTCATATCCTTGCCTTGGCTGAAATTGACTTCCTTGAGATTGGTAAGGAGGTCTTTGTTGTTGTGGATACCTTGGAGGATACACTTGGTCTTGAGGATTCTCCACATTGGGGTTTCTATAAGACATGTTGGGGTTTGGGCGATAGCTTGGATTGTATCCCTTGTTCCCATAGTTTCCAATGTAGTTCACATCTTCTTCATTGGCTTCATTAGAGAAATCTCCCATGCATTCTCTTGATGGGTCTTCATTAGCATCACTCATCCCTTCTATTGCATTGATATGCTTGAGC